CCCCGACACTTCGATAAGGTACAATGTGGAAGAGAAGAAGAAAAGGAAGTGTGTATGTATTTATGAATGTATGTATGTACATATAATTTTTTTTTTTTTTAAACAGATGATATCATTGCAGATTAAAATTGAATTCACAGACAAGTATTAAGAATGCAGTTATAACAATGTACCACTCCCACATTTGTGTATTTTTGTCGTACGACAGCCCACACCCCTATGGTCTTGAACCTGCCCCATCTTGTACACCTCTATGTTAATGGGTCATTCTCAAATCTTAGACTCTCCTCCATAGGTAAATAGTCCTTCTTGTGTACTTATTTATCAAGATATCGGATTAAGTACCCAATTATATCCTAATTCTCTAGGGAATTACATATATTAAATTTAGCAATATAGGTTGGAGTATTACTTAAAGTCAAGCCAAATTCCATGGGCCTACCTATCGCTTGGACGCGGATAAATTATTTCCCGCCCCTAGCTGGGACTCATTCTTGACTGAGCTTCCAGACGGCTTGCTGTTTTTTTCTGTTTATCTGCCTACCTCCGTTTGTTTCACCGATTCACCCAGGAACATCTATGAGCATGGGATGTTATTAGTATCTGGAGGCCAAGTCAATGATCAGTATCCTAAAACACATCAGGTGAAATCAGCATACAGCCTGCAGTATGAGGGATCCTCAATGAACCCCTCACGCTTGTCCATGCACCATTGTCAAGTGTTAGATAGGACGAAAACTGTCAACTGTGCCTGTATGATCAACATCAGATTATGTCCTCAACCAAGAAGCTTTTTTTTTTGTGTGGTCATGCTGCCACGAACTGTCGCTACCAGAGGGTCTGCATAGTTCCTAAGATAATCTATAACAGTTAATAGATAACACGGAACTTTATCCTGTAAGATTACTATTAAGGCCCCCCCCCCCCCCCCCCCAAAAAAAAAAAAAAAAAAAATCTTGATTGTGGTCAAATCTCTTTTTCCAAGTGTTACCAATTCCAGTATCTAGTGAACTATGTTGTTAATGTTTAATTCACAAGACTGTGTACCTGCTCAAGTTGGAAGAACAAACAAGCATTTCAGAGGAACAGGACATCCTAGCCAGATATGTTGTGGGGGTCCAGAAACCGCGGTTAATCCTAACACTTAGTGATAGTTACGAAGGTCCAAAATTCCACAGTTCGACCGTAATGACACTTGCTGTTGCTAGGGACAAACCAGCAGTCCACCTGAAGTAGAGAATGCTTTATCGCCCTAGTTGGTTTACTTTGTCTTGCTGAATTCACTCATTTATTTTCTTACTTGTGTTGCACTGATTACAAAATCTTTTATTACTTTACATTTTGTGGTTAGTGTCCATCCATCATAGTTCTTAAGTGTTCTGGTATGTATGTGGTATTGTGGAATTGTTATACTGTGTTATTTGACTAGCATAGGAGTACTGTCTAGTCTAGTGGCTTAATATTAGTGGGGAAGTCAGTCCAAGTTGCGCCTAGGAATGGTTATGAATTCTGTAGTGCTATAATTTGAGTCACCTCACCCCTGAAGTAGATTTAATGTTCTTTGGAGCTGCGGAATCCCGCATAGACCATTGCGAGTCAACATCTCAACACTTTAACTACTTGACAGTGTCTGTTGGTTCATTAGAGGAAACCCTAGCAAAGACACGTGACACCAGCGTTATGTTACCATTTCCTTACCCTGATTTCTGAGAGCAGAGTTTGAAGTTTTGCAGACTTTAATTCTGCTTTTTTCTTGGCCCTCTTCATGTTCATCATCTGTAGGTGATGTCTGTGTTTTACTGTCATCAAAAAACCTGTGGGGAAACATATTTATACACAAACAGAGGACAATGTCACAGATAAAACAATTTGTTTTAGTACGCGGGGTGTATTTGTTTCTGTAAAAAACTTTGAACACTGTAACCGCTTACAACATTAACCATCTATAGTATAGCATATAATAGAAGACACGTGGTTCGTTTTGACTGAATTTGGTTTTGTAAAAAAGAAAATTGTTCAAGTCCTTAACTTTCTATTGCTCAAAATCGTTAGTCTCAACCTGTGTGACGTACCTAGCTTTACACCCATGGGTGTTGCCAAGTGTTTTCCCTGTGTTCGTCCGAATTAGTTTTAATGAGAACAATTGTAACTGAAGTCATATCGTAAACATTGTAACAGCCATTCAGTCTCAAATAAACCAGTTGTATCTGTAGCATTATTGTCTTATCAGTAGCAACATTTGCCTGTTTAAAACAAAATTAAAGGGGAAAAAAACAATTTTGCTACATAACAGTAGTTGCATACCTAAATTATACTCATGAAAAAGGTTGCTAAAAGCTGGGGATGTAGAAAGCAACGGAAAACTACGACAATGTTATCCAGGGAAATAACATGGAAGGCACAAAAGAAACTCATAGATTTGATGGTGAAGCTCTCAGGCCAGGCAGATCACACATGAATTGGGGAAGAGAATTGCTGATGATCTGAGTATTAAGAAAGACTAGGTGGTAAGCAGCATATTGTTTCGGAAACATAAATATTTTGGCCATTTCAGACACTGCGGCGGATTGGAAATAATAACAGCGAAAGACATTGGTACCTTTAATTTAAAAAAAAAAGGGGGAAAGGGGGGGGGGCAGGGGCTGATCAGCGCCAAGATGGACACATGATACAAGTGATATTTTCGTTAGGAAAATGAATGAGGTTGGCGACCGAGAGAGCTTTTTTTTTTTTTTTTTTTGCCCAAGCAGATAGTGATGGGAGCGATGAATTTAAAAAAAAACAAGCCAAATTTTTCTAAACAGCGCACTGCTATTTCGATTTTAAAAAAAAAGAAGAAGACATTTTATCACTTTCTCTTCGTATTATTTCACATCAGCAAAGATTACACACATACTCACTGTTAACAATTCTGACCACTCTCCATGGCAACAGTAAAACAAGTATTGTAGTGGCGTCCTTTCCGGTTTCATACCACCTGCTGTCCAAAAACACGAAGTCCAAGGCGAATGATGAAATCACAATAAAGGCGTCAAATACCTGGAAACACATTTTGTTTAATGGGCTTGTTGTGACATTTTAGGGAAAAGGTACATTTACAATTTGAATTTACTGTTATTTTAATAATTAAACAATACATGATTAATTGATTGATTGAATGACGCATCTCCGTCTATCAAGAGAGTAGTGTTATATTGCGATATGAGGAGCAATGGAACTCATAGTCTATGGCGATAGCGAGTGTGACTAGTAAGACCTACCCGCGTTAAAAGAAAAAGTCTTCCACAATTCTAGCATGTGATTTCAGGACCATTCTTGTCAACATTTGTATATATATATATTTTTTTTTCAGACTATCAGCTTTCATTCTTTTCTGCAATAATTTCTTCCTTCATTCCCATTCCCTTCCTGATGTGCCCCCCTTCGCATAACAAATACTGTCCATGGCATTTTGTTCACATGAGTCCACATCAATGACTGTATCGTTCATGTCCCATATGCACACATCTTTACACGGTAGTAGAGACTGGGCTCTTCTACTCAACTTGAATTCACCATAAATGATGTCCTTAGGAACTGTCATCCTCCATTCTCCAGGTGTGACCCAGCCACCTGAGCCTTTGAAGACTGAGCATTAAGAATACTAATGTGATACCTGCTCTTTCCAATACCTTAGTGTTTGTGATCTTGTCCTGCCACCTAATGCCAAGTATCCTTCTGAGGCATAGCAAGTGTGTGTGCTGAGTGATTCTTTGAGTATGATCCGGCGGGTCAAGACAGGCTGGTTACGCAGACAGTGGCTTGAGTCATTGCAAAATTCTCCTGTGTGTGCAGTTACTTTCATATTTGTCCCAGGGCATGCAGGCGTTGCTGGTAATGAGAGAGCTGATAGACTGGCAGACACTGCATTAATTGAAGATGGCCGGCCCATGGATCACGCAGACAATGTCATTGCCATTAGAGAGATAGGACGTTCTGAGGATTTTGGAAGCAACGTGTCCACATCACTTCTAATAATAAGCGAATTTGGAGTAAAGATCGGCACAACCAAGCATGAGAAGCACATTGGACGCACACGAGGTCTTGTTAACCAACATAGGACTGGTACTATTAATTGCACGACGCTAATGAATATGTTGAGAGGGGAATCTGAGCGCCTATGGATGTGTCTGGAGTGCTGTGAAGATAATCTAACTCATAACTCATAACATAACTCACGCATGAAGTGCTTCTTGTCTGCAGCTACTCTGAGATATGATTTTTCCCGCAGAACTTTGAGCCTGTCTGCAATAGTAGGCAGTGCAAGTACATATCGCATACATACTACCGGGGTATCTCTTGTACATCCAAGAATTATTCGCATGGCTTCATTCTGTATGCGTTCGAGTTTTATCAGCTGACTCTTTGATATGGTAAGCATTCAAAGTCCGTAATCTATCACGGTCTATTTTCTATATAACTCTATATGTATCACTATATGTGTAACTGTAAACGGTTATATGTTTGTATAAGTGTCTATCTGTCCGCCTCTATGTAAATATATTTAGTAAAATGAGTATAATTGTCTAACGGGTAACAAAATAGAAATTAACTAAGAACACTGGACTACAAGATATGTTGTATATGACTTACGTTACTACAAAAAACATTATATTCATCATTAAACAATTGCATTATAAGGCTACGCAGTTAACAAGCCGAGGCACCTTAACGAATTACTCTATAACGACATTGCACCATATGCCGGAGCCTCTTAATGACCCACAAAACACCACATCTAACTAATCAACACGACATCTTGACACTCTCGCTGAGCCACTGGCACCTATCTCCGTGATATGACACCCGCCACTTTGCCATAATTTTTCATGTTCCCCTCTAAGAACCATATGCACATGAGACCCTGATGACCCCTGGCCTTCTACGATAAGGTTGTCAATGATCACATATTGCCGCTTGATCTTACACTACCATAACCCTAGCTCATCAGCTAACACCCAGCATCACAAAAGCCCAGGAGAGACATGCTAGCCTACATCTGTTGACATAGAACCTAATGATGATGATGATGCTTGACCACAAACCACTAGCTCAGTCATTCGCTAACAACCGACACCACTACAGACTTCTCTCTCTCTCTCTCTCTCTCTCTCTCTCTCTCTCTCTCTCTCTCTCTCTCTCTCTCTCTCTCTCTCTCTCTGTTTTAACTCATTTATATATTTAACTACACAACATTTACTTTCTATCCACATAAACGAAGCCAGTCAATGCCCCTCCCTCTACTGCTTTCTTTATTTTACTATATAACCACTGAACACATGGATTCCCGTAACCCCTGAAACCCGCGAGTTCCCGCTTTTGTTAGTGGATTACACAAAAATTTTTATTTTTTCCGGGGGAAAAAGGGGAGAGGGGGGGGGGTGGAGGTAGGGGGATTTTAGGACTTTAATTTTGTGTTGCGTATTAAAAAAAAGCTTATTTTACATTAATTGTGTCCTTATGATTTCATACTAGCATGATTTGGTTAAAAACAATTATTATCCATAATGCAGTTGGTTACTTGCAGCCTAATGCACTTGATTACTTGCTGGCAATCTATGAGTATTTAATACTGTCACGTTAAGAGTCGGAAAAGAAGAAAACTAAGAATAGGCCTTAGTTTCGTTTCTTTGTTGTATTATGCAATTTTTAATGAAATTACAACAGGGAACATTGAATATATGACTCGATACTTTTAGTTTAGAGACATACCTCAAATTTTTTTTTGAAGAATGACCATCCTGTACAAAAGAGCTTGACTGCAGTCTGAAACAAAAAAGTGCAAACTCTATCATTCTTGGGACTCGCATTGTCTACATCTATTTATTGCCATTCTAAAATAGAAAGTATGGACAGTTTTATTACATTTTGTTTATAAATCCGAAGAAAAAGCAACATACTAATGCAAGTAACATAGATAATGATGTAAAGAATTCTGTCTTTTTTTTTTATAGCAGCGGATTAAATATGTGACTGTTTGCGCATCAGAGGTCAACGTGATTACCCCCCCCCCCCCCCCTCCCCCCCCCCCCCAAACTTTCTTCCTTCGTCATCTTCTTCTCCTTTGTTTTAGTGCCGCGTTACAGACATTATCCACCTCTGAGATTTGCGCCATTCCTGAATGTATGGCTTCGTAATGCCGAAGTGCTAGAGTCGATCCCAGCTGCGGGCCATGCGCCTTGCGTTGGTTTCGACAGTGGTATCAGGGGGCCGACGTCCAGTAAGCAATGGCAAACTGCAGGACGTAAATTTGTCTAGAGAAACCACACAACAGCCAGGGACTGCTGAGGTTGGTTTTGCAACGTCCTGTAAAGGATACGCAACTAACTTAACCTTAATGTATGAGCATCTGTGAATGAATTTGTCGTCCTAATAAACGGGCCGTGAATGCGATAAACTAAGGCCCTCTGTAATTTAACTATAATAAAACAGGTCATGGATAGACCATCACATGTTCACACTTCATGTAGTACGGAGTCACATAGCCTGGAAGACTTATCTGCGATAGTGGTTTACTAGAATACATTCAGGATATAAAACCAAAACCCACCACTGATACCGAGTGATTCAGACTGATCAGAAACTACTTGAGGATAAAAAAATAGAGATGATATAGACTAAGTTCTATCTGTGATAGATTTTATTATTTTCACCAAAAAATAGAAAGCATCTTATGACAGCTATAGCAAGTATAATAGTAATTGGGAGAAAACATACCCGTGGCTGAAAAGATCTTTAAACCTATCAGATGTAGCATATTGTAAAATGTGTCAGTGCACTGTTGCACAAATAATTAGTAACATATCGAATTATGAAAAAAAATCATAAATACACCTGCATGAAAACTTCGCCAAAAAGCCAGTCACAGCTTATTACAACAATAACTATTAGGGAAAGTAACAATAAAGTTAAAGCAGCAGAGTTGCAACTTGCTGTAAGCATGACCTGTTATTTTACAATACTCACAACTGATCATCTAAGTCAGCTGTTCTCAAACTAGGTGCCGCGGCACCCAGGAGTGCCGGGAGCGTATGCCGATATTTTCTCCAGGTTATGCCGGTTTGTTGGGAAGTGAGCAGGCAGATAGACTGACAGGCTCTGCGTCAGTTAATGGTGAATTGATCTATGAAATGATAGATATTGTGAGGGCCCTTTGGAAACGGGTGAACATTTTGGAGACGCAGATAGATCATTACGGTCTGAGGAGAATGGCGCTGCGCTGAGTTACCAGGGGATATGGCTGACGCACAGCACTCAGGGAAGGGATGAGGTGGATATACAATCAGACAGGTACTGGGATCATCGGAAGTGGAACTCTTCGCTTGCTGCTGAAGATGGGGACTAAACACTTTTAGGAGTGTCCCGAGTGCTGTGATGTTGGTTCCTAATTCAACGTTCAACATTTGACACCGGGCATTTAAAGAGTTGGCCACTTTCGCCTTACTTGCTTAACAATGCCAGTTAACAATGCTGTAGTTGAGATAATATTCTCTCTCGTTACTTCAATTAAATTAAAAGCAAAAAAAAAAAAAAAAATACCACCTGATTTTCTCGATGCAGCTGTGAGAATTAGACCAGAACTATTAATATCAAACAAATGTTGCAAAGACCACCCCATCTGAGGAAATGCTTGAAGATTTCACATCTGTAAACGTTTACGCTGTATCTTCCAGTGAGGGTGACAGTCATGAATCCAGTCTAGATCTTTTCATGTTAAGTAAGTACGTTACATTCTATTTGTATGATTTTGTTTTTTAATTTGGCATCCCTGATTCCCTCTCTGGAAACTTTTTAGCGGGGTTAAGCAGCTTCCAAAACCATGTATAGAAGTTCCCTTTTTGAGTATTTTATACACATTTGATATTATTTCAAATATAGTGTTATATTTATTCATCATTTAACACATTCTCAGTATTATTATTGTTGTTACGATTATTCAAAAAGAGTTTCCAAGCGACGCCCGCATGAAACCAGAATGAGGATTCGATCACACCCCCACCCCCCCCCCCCAGCAGACCTTTCCCGCCCCCACTCTCCCCCCCCCCCCCAAGTTGCCCTAAAATATACTGCCCATTTCTGTTGGTTTCTAGTTCTGTCGCCTTTGTTTCGACTTGTCAATATTAGATATAGAAAAATCAATGTGGCCTTTGGAAAGATAATCCTTGTTGGGCAAGGAAGTTATGCCAGCACATCATTAACTTCGCTATACATACTGTATAGATTATTGCCGTGTTCAGATAGCCTAACCATTGCTGCGTCATCATTATGTGTTAGAATAGATCAATAATGCTTCGGATAAACCCATACTTACAAATGTAGTATTATTGTCGTGTATCTTCGCTGGTGCTTAAAAGATGCGTACATCTGCACTGAACTCGTCCTTAAGTTTTTCATCAGACAAGTTTATGTTCATTTTAAGGGCCCAACATGTGTGCCTACTGACTAGAAAAACACGGCTCCAATATACTCAGTGACAGCCTATTTGCATTCTCTTTGTGTGTGTTCAAATTGTGTATATCAGACTGAAAGGGTCCTGCGTACAGGGCCTTTCGGAGACCGCCACTGTGTGAAGAAGAAGAAGAAAAAGAAGAAAAAGAACAAGAAAAAGAAGAAAAAGAAGAAAAAGAAGAAGAACAAGAAGAAGAAGAAGAAGAAGAAGAAGAAGAAGAAGAAGAAGAAGAAGAAGAAGAAGAAGAAGAAGAAGAAGAAGAAGAAGAAGAAGAAGAAGAAGAAGAAGAAGAAGAAGAAGAAGAAGAAGAAGAAAAAGAAAAAGAAGAAGGAGAAGGAATCAGAATTAAAAGCATGAGTGGTAAAATGCATGCGCACGCTTGAGCGCACAAACACACACCCACATACACACGCAAACCCATTCACTCACGTATACACACACATAATCACACAATACACACATATCTACATATTATGCACACACACACACACACACATACACACAGCCACACAGTCAAATAGACACACTCTCACAAACACACAGACAAACAACCCAGACACATACAGACGCACACAGCCGCACAAAAAGACACCTACAAACACACACACAGACATAAACCCACACACACACGTAGCCACAGGCACACACACAGACACATACACACATGCAGCCGCACACAAAGACACGTACAAACACACACACAGACGCACACAGACATAAACACACACAGACATACACACACGCAGTCATAGGCACACACACACACACACACACACTCACAGGCAGAGACACACATAGACACACACACAGTGACATAAAACTTGCGTGGTGAACGCGGCAAAGAAGATAAATAAATCGGATCGCCGGAAAACAAAACCAAGATACCGATGTGATTGTCGCTGGAGCTATGTAGTACTCGGTGAAGACCTTTGGGCTTAGCTTCATGCAGAGGTATGAGGTCAAAAGTCAAACATTGCCTAGCGGAACTAAAAACAACTCTGGGCCGGCAAAGAAACAAAAACCGATGTGATCGACGCCAGAGCTGTGTAGTTCATGCATAGTGCGACACTCTTACATAAAAACGCGCGATCAGTCGAATACAACATTGTGTGGAAATTTTAAAGCAATCGGTAAAGAACTTTCAGAGATTAGCTATTACAACCAAGGGAAATTTTTTAAAAAATTTTTAAATATAAAAAAGATGTTGGTCGGTGTAGCCAACTACTTCGGATGGAGTAATGTATATGGGAAGGAGAATAAGCTTACTTATGCTAGGACGAGGAAATGCAGTCTCAAAACAGTTATAGCAAGGCAAAACAGACACATAGCCTTGATTGACAGTTAGTGTTTGATAAAAGCTCTGACAGACAAACAGACGGCTTCAGCATCAGGCTTTGTTTCTAAAGTACAGGTATCACCTTTCCCTTTAAGTAAACAAGGCAGGTCGAGAGAGGGATCATGATTCTTGGACAACACCTGGCCTCTACAATGATGCCTAGGTTCTCGGTTCTGGAGATAATAATTTTCAATGTTGGGTATAAAAAAAAAAAGGACCCTTTTCCACGCCTGTAGGCGTATAGGGCATATAGGGCTAGACCTATATTTTATAGACCAATCAGCACAAGATGGGTGATGTGGTCAGCATCACGCCAGCCGCCTCTACTTCCCAGGACTGCATCCGGTACCCACTCAAAGCTGGGTCGACCTGGGAGCCAAGGTCATTTTTGAAATAAGGTCCGGCTCTGCCAGGGAGCGAGCCCACCACCTTCGGATTCGCGTGCAGCGTCTAGCCGCTCCGCCACGGCGACTTCCCAATGCTGGGTATACAGCGTCAAAATATTTAGTTTGTGAACTGAGATAATGACTGTCATGACAGTTTTCTAAAGGATAAAGGAACGTACATGTCGATATGTATGTCTAAATAACGATCTCTGAAACTTTGGCTTCAGAAACTAATATGTCATGCGTGGGGTGGCTTGTCTAGCTTGAATACACATATATACACACACACACACACTATATATATATATATATATATATATATATATATATATATATATATATATATATATATATATATATTAGAAAGTTGGGTTATCATCACTGCACTCCGGACATGTCCATAGGTGCTCAGATCCTCCCCTCAGTATGAACCCCAACGTCCGATGGCTAATATATATATATATATATATATATATATATATATATATATATATATATATATAGAGCGCATCAGATATATGGGAAGATCACCTATATTTTTAAAGACCAATCGGCCCTAAGTGGGTCATTACGCCGATATGTATATATAAATGTAAATAAATGTACATACAAGGTATATATCTTTCTCTCGGCTATCTTTGTGTGTGCGTGCGTGTGCGTGCGTGCATGTTGATTTGTGTGTGTGTTTTTTGTTCTGTTTAAAATTCTAGTTGGTTTGTGGACAGATTAAAAACGTTCATTTTTGTATCCACATCTTTACGTTTGACAAGTTGTATTTTGTTTTCATTCATTCATTCTCTGCTATCAGTTCTTCAAAAGTTCCCCTATATTCCATTCTCAAAAAACCCTTTCCACTTCCGACGTCCTCCTCGACCTTTTTTTTTAATACTGTTCAGAGCCAACGTCCAGATTAAAGAAAAAAAAAAGGGGGGGGGGGGGGTGATAGAACTAACAAAGTGAGTTGCGTATACTTTACAGGACGTTGCAGAATAAACCCCAAAATAATGAAAATATGTGGGTGGCAGCAGTCAAGCTAATAAACCCCAGCATTGTTTAGCTCTTATGATTTTCTAGGGACATTTTTACGTTCAGGAGTCTGCCATTGCTCACTGCACGATCGATCCTTGATACTTCTGTTGAATCTAACACAAGACTGTCTGCTGCCAAATCGGCTGCAGCTGGGCATCCCCGGCGTTACGAAGCACGTTCGCAAAGTCTATGCCACATAAATAAACTAATTGTTAGCTCGTGTCATCATAATATATACAGATGGGTCTGTAGTGAGAGAGAGGTAAGAAACGTAGATGGAGTTTTATTGCAAGGGTGAATAGATACTACTTGAAAACAGAGAGCTTCACGTACAACGTCATTATATCCAGTATGAGAATGGAGGTCGAATTTCTTTGGATTTCAGGCATATATTAGCTGCTTCCGCTCCTCTGGGCGGTGAGCTGCTATACGATAAAGCAGACATAGTGAAGGCCCTATGGGTTCAAAAAATTAGTGCAGAAGAACAGATGGAGAATTCACACACTAAAAAAGATTAATTCAGCGATGGTGTGTGGAGGTTCTGGAAGATATACAACTTTGAAAGGAAAACAGAAGCGGAATTGTAATCAGGCTGCAACATGTAATATTAGCATGTCAATTCGTTGGTCGCTGAAGAAGGGAAAGGGGCACGTATGAGAGTGTCTGGAGTGTAGTGATGTTAGTTCTTGATTTATTCACTCATTCATAGATTGTGATTATTTTCTTTGTTATTATATTATGTGTAACTGGGTATGTTGGTAAATTCACCCATGGATGGATGGATGGATGGATGGATGGATGGATGGATGGATGGATGGATGGATGGATGGATGGATGGATGGATGGATGGATGGATGGATGGATGGCTGAATGAATAGATGGATGGATGGATGGATGGATGGATGGATGGATGGATGGATGGATGGATGGATGGATGGATGGATGGATGGATGGATGGATGGATGGATGGATGGATGGATGGATGGATGGATGGATGGATGGATGGATGGATGGATGGATGGATGGATGGATGGATGGATGGATGGGTGAATGGGTGGATTTTTGGATGAATAGATGGATGGCAAAAAGTGTGGGTAAAACAGACGGACACACGAACAGTAAAGCTGACTTGTGAAAAAATGTACTGACGAAAAGAATAAGAGAGAGGAGACGGATAGAGAGGATACGGATAGACAGATAGACAAATAGGTCAGAAAAATGTTCATTAGTACAAACAAATTATTACATTGCTTAAATTAAAAAGCATATATTTTCATCAAGTGCTGAATCTGAGTAGAAACTTTTGGAAATTGCATGTGATTTGTTAAAAGTTTTTTTTTTTTTTTTAAGTATTTAGCAAGCGACGTCTACATTGTTGTTGCGAATGACATTTAGGAGCATTTGTAACAGACTCACACGGCATGCTTCAAAAAAAAAAAAAAAAAAAAAAAATTGGCATCTTACAAGTGGTCATTCGGTAAGACAAGGATCTGGCCCGTTGCATGGATGTTTTGTCTAGGACTTCAGAGTGTGTGAGATAATGAGCAGACTGACAGATTAGCCGTTGCCGTTCTTCTGTGCGGCGATCTACTTTATGGCAGATCAGATGTGGTTAAGAAGCTGTGGACAGTTCAGCAGAACAGCTTATATGTATCTAGAGAGACGGGTTGGACTGAAAGTGAGCAGAAGATCTGGATGACTTTCAACAGGAAAAGACAGGCGGATTGTTAACCGGGTTGCAATTGACATTTTCAGAATGGAAAGTCGGGGTTTGAAGCCGAGAAAGGTCACAGAACATGATCATAGAGACATCAAGTGCACTGATGCCCATTGTTCATTCATTCATTCAGAAGCATTTATACAAACATGTCGGGCCGCGTTAGCGCAGTCGATAGGAGACTCGCTTTAAAATCCAGCTGCGACTTGCTGCAGCCCATGGCCGGTGTTCGAAACCGGACAGTTCCCGGTGTTCACCCAGTCTCTAGGTAATGGGTACTAGAGTTAACACTGAGATAAATGGAGGAACGACGCTGTAGCTACAAAATTGTGTGCGGACGGCGATACAGGCGGACAGTTTCTTATCAGCTGTCCCTAGTGGTGGCAGAGCACTTATGGTTTATAACCGTGTGCAGTGACGCTGGTTCACATCTCACGACTTTACCTGTACCTTTATACAAAGATGTAAACTGTTCATAAATGCATGCGAATCACAACTGAGCACTTACCTCTAAGACCATCACTGAGAGAATGGACAAACTGATGAAATGTAATGCTTTGCTAGCCTTGTAGATTTTACTATACTCCAGATTGTTTTGGACAAATTTCGTGCGATTCACATTGCTATGTTCTGGAACAAATTCAGCCACCAGGAAAAAGCTGTCGATGACGTTGTTAATTTCCAGAACGAAAATATCATGCAGGCTAACTGGCTTCTGAATGTGTGAACCATTCACAATGCTTCTAGCTTCAGCTGATGAAAACATCGGCATGATTTGCTGTTTCTCTACAATGGTAGTTCTTTGTAAACTCTTGTCTTTGTGTGATTTGAAATGGCCTTCGAGTTTTATATCTGATGTAATAGAGTGACAAAGTATTTGTGCCATATTTGTAGGAACCATTCTTAATGTGTTCTTAAAGACTTCTGCATCTGATAAGTTGTTTGCAATAATATATATTGACTGACTCAAGGTGGGAGAGATACTTGAAAAAACATGAACATTTGATACAGCAGACATTTCATCTACAGTATGAAGTATAAAGAATGACGATGGCATACTCTCATACTCTTCAATATTTAAATTATTGTAAGTCAAACTTTGAATATTATCTACTAATGCAGACGAATATGTTGCACTTTGTCTAAAACTGGTTTCAATACTGGACAAAGCAAATGCAACAGTTCTCGTAGAGATTCTGCTTGGGAAAATACTTTGTAAAAAGTTTACGCTAGTAGTGATGTCGGAAGCCAGTGGTGGTGTTTTTGAATCTATAATTAACGTCGATGAATGCGTCAGATGCCTGTTTCTAGAGTTCATTTGAACGCCGCTGCGGAAACCAAAATTATGTGGAAAATTTGAAGAAGCTGCTAGCTGTTGTATATCAGATGGAATCATTTGTAACACTGGCGTGCTTAGTTCATTGAATGACAATATGTTGGGGTTCAACGTTATTGTCTCTAAACTGACAAAGTATTTTTTTGATTCACTCAAGAAGAAAGCTGGTAGTTCTTTATTCTTAGAGTACACTTCCGCTGCTTGTATTGATGACTGCAGAAAGGGAACTTGTGTAGACAAAAAAGAATCAGCTTTCTGCCTCACAAATCCGTGAATGGGCAGTATAGACTTCGTTAATAGCATTGAAAAGGGTAGTGATTTTGTTAGTGACAATAGACTAATGTCTCTTAAACTACTGAGTTTAAGAGAATTTGATAAAACCTGAGGTTTTGTAACACTCTTCAATTCATATTTCAAAAGCGTTTCGCTAAATAGCGTCTTGAACTGAAGATTTTGATCTCCAAAAATCGGCGGGGCTTGTGTTAAATTCTTATGCTTTGAAGGCCCATGGGCCACCGATCCCTTTAGCTGCATAACAGATTGAAACGGGGTTTTGTTCGAATCAAACAAATGTTTTGTGGCATCCGTCTGCTTGCTTGTTGATGATTTATTACAGGGACAGTTACAAACACAAAGGTTTCCAGACAATAAAAGATCTTTAGGACTTCTCAACACTATTGATTTTTCCAAAACGTTGATAACATCTGACATCGTTCTCATATCTTCTGCTATGAACACATCAGGATACTTCTCTCGTAAGTAAGAAACAAATCTGTTGATTTCAGTTTCTTCATTCTCAAATCGAACTGAAACAAGAAGACAAATAACGGTAGAAAGTGGCATAAATGTTTCTAATAAAGTGTAAATAAAATGCTGGAAAACAAGACAATCTTTCATATGAAATTCACATCCAGTCTTTTATTGTAAACTAACTAGAATAATATTTTTGTTATGACAATTTTCGATGGTTTAATTCGACACAGAAGTGTGGAAAATAGAAGGTATTATTAATAATTTGTGTATCCTTATTAAATGTTGACTGCTTGCAATTATGAGTTATGAGTTAAAAACCGACATCAGAGCATTCGGGTCATTAACAAAAGAGCTCTGAACTAATCATCATCAGTTGGCACATAGTTTCAACTATAACAGTACCAGTAACAGTGTGATGTTATCTTTCAAGGTTCTTCTTGGTCTACCCTGTTCTTTCCTTTTCTGAAGAATGCTTTGCAGGGTATGCCGTCACAGAGCCTTTTCTCTGTTTGCAGGCACATTAAGTTTTTGTGAGTGCAGTATCTGTGTTGAAGCTAGTATTGGTTCTGTGAAAACGTTTGATGGCATGATTTTTATCTGTTTCTGGTTACCACGTAGTTTCTCTCATAATCTCATGTCAATATTTACTCATTTTCTCATTAGTAAGTGAAAAAGGTAAAGGACCATTTTCCACACTTTTAGGCACGCACGTACGCACACACGCATACATACATACATACATACATACATACATACATACATACAT